AATGTGTTTTTTGAACATTAAAGCATGTCAACATATTCTGTTACACCAAATACACAAAATAATGATCTTTAAAAAAAGCATCATATGACCCCTTTAAGGAAACAAACAAAAAATAAATAAATATTCAAACAGGGTTAAACAGAACTTCTCAAGTTTTAAGTTAAACTCTAGCAACATCTGTGGCATGCCAGTAACCACTGATAATAATTGACTTGTTCCTCATTATTCAAATCAAACTTGTAATACAAATTATTGAAGAACCGTATTGGTTTAAAAATCATTCAAACACAAAATACAAAATCAATTGAGGCGTAACTTCTAATATTTTTTTTAATGCTAAACTTCCTTCTTTGGACAAAAATTAATGTATTTAAAGATAAATGGTAAAAAAAAGTCAAGAGCTAAAATTATTAGAACGCATCTTCTTGACGTCAACTGATGCTAATTTTCTTATAATAAGCATCATATGACCCCTTTAAGGAAACAAACAAAAAATAAATAAATATTCAAACAGGGTTAAACAGAACTTCTCAAGTTTTAAGTTAAACTCTAACAACATCTGTGGCATGCCAGTAACCACTGATAATAATTGACTTGTTCCTCATTATTCAAATCAAACTTGTAATACAAATGACTGAAGAACCGTATTGGTTTAAAGATCATTCAAACACAAAATACAAAATCAATTGAGGCGTAACTTCTAATATTTTTTTTAATGCTAAACTTCCTTCTTTGGACAAAAATAAATGTATTTAAAGATAAATGGTGGAAAAGTCAAGAGCTAAAATTATTAGAATGCATCTTCTTGACGTCAACTGATGCTAATTTTCTTATAAACCAATGCAATGCTTTACTGTTATGCTAACTCGCTAACTAAAGCATGTTAGCCCGTGAGCGCGCATTCCCCCTTAAAGAAATAACATTCATTATCACACTCACTTGAAGTTGCCGGTCTCGTAGAGCTTTTAATCTTTCTTTTCTTTTTAAAGCTTGCTCTTGTAAAGACCCCACAGGCTTCTCCATGGTGAAAATAAAGCATGGGTAGCCGGATCGATTATGCTGTCTGTTCAGAGCTTGGTAGAAGAACACCGAACACATCGATTACTATGACTTATCATACAGAACGTAATTAAGCTAACGGTAAAATATGTAAATAATGTTTATATATATATACTATAATACACTGAATATAATATAATGACAACATAATTATAATATTACATTCCTTACTATACAATAAAAAAGTTAAATATAAATAATAAATTAATCTGTGCATATGATGGTCGGCCTATTTAGATAATTTGATTATAGTGTCATATGCAGGAGTTCGGATTTTTGTGAGTTTGATAATTGACTCTGTGACTCTGGTTAGTAGTCTGGATGTGTTTTTTTTCTATAGCCTAACAAAAAATCAAATATAGGCTATAATCACTTACATACTCCAATATCCTTTAATTGTCTTTTTTTCATGAAACACAAAAGATGATTCTGGAGCTTCTGTTTTTCACATAAAGAACGTGGATGGTGATTTACAGACTACATTCATATTTTAGCTAATGGCTAATAAGATAATAGTTTCATACTGGAAACCGATAAATGGCGGATTTACACACACACACACACACACACACACACACACAAAGAAAAACTACACTTCTAAAAAAAATACAATAGACTACAATAAAATCAACAGTTTAGCTACAACTGCATATAGACTTTCAAACATCATAACAGTAAAATATGTAAGATAGATAACCAATGCTACTATGCTCTGCTCTGTTTAAAAAGCCTAAGAAAGAACAAGTAACATTTATGAAGATTGTGCAGAGTTTAACTTAAGTAGCATAAAATAAAAATGAAAGCAAAAGCATATTCAGATCACAACTGGTCTGAATAGAAAAATAATGACCCACAAGTTCCTCAAACAGGCAAACAAACCCCCGAACGTGACATGGTGTGGAATGTAGGGCATTGCCATGGCCATCCTCTTCCCAGTGACCAAACAGTCACAAAGATGCACTTAGCAATGGGATTAATACAAATGGTGCATTATGACCCCCCCCCCTCTCCTAGACTATCATTTTATTTAATTATTAAAATTAGTAAAAAAAATTGTTTAAATATTTGATTGTTTAAAGGCCTCATATTGTAGTATATAGTGTGGGAAAAGGGGTAAATATGTGCTTTGATTTAGAAAGGATGTATTGTTTAAGTTGCGGTATCTTTTAATCTATATTTAAATGTTCCAGTCAGGCACCAAACACAATAGACCCTTCAGAATTATGTTAAATATGGCGGTGTCATTGCACATGCAGTTATAGACAAAAACAAATGTGCCAAATGAAAATGGAAAGACACTAAATGCGATCATTCAGACTCTTTACCAAACCAAAGTTTATTTGCATAGAGTTTGCATGCTCTCAAGGGATCCAATGACCATATGGATCTTGAATAATTCTGAATGTAAAGTTTTACTCTCAAAAGCTTGAGCTGTGAAAAAAACTCATCAAGTCACACTGTTTGTGTGATTAAAACAACAAGAAGGAATATTAATACTTTATAAAACATGGCAGGCCAAAGGCATGTATTAGGGAAAGAAAATGGAAAATATGTTTTATTTATATGTGTGTATGCTAATTCATCTAGATCCTGTTTGCTTCTAAATGGTGAAGTGAGATTGTGTTTTGTGGAGAATAATAAATACTGCAGTGTGTTGTGTAGAATAATGATGACACACCGTGCCTGTTTGTGCTTTGGTTTTACCTGTGCTTTCAAAGCTTTTCCACACTCTCCAGCCTCAGGTGTCCACCCCTGTCGTTAAAATTAATTAATTAACAAGAGCAATGTGACAAATCCCAATTATGATCCACGGCTAAACCCTGAGATACAATGAATCAGAGCCAATGTCCTAATGTGCAAATTTCAATCAAGAAGGAAGCATCAAATATTCAGGCAGCGGTAACTGTACATAAACAACTTTCTTATGCACTGCACAGCCAGGACAAACAAAAACGCTCATCACCAAACATGACTCAATTTAAGTAAGGACTCGGACTAAAAAATTAAATAAAAAAAGCCTGAGACCTCTGTAGGCCTGAAAGAAAATATTGTCCTTTATATTATCTTTATTGAATTTCACTATAATTTATGTCTCAATTTATAGAACAATGTCAAAGAGCATGTCCAAATCAGCATAATTACACTTTCATTTTTAATAAACTTGTTAGTGGGGCTTCATTTGATTTATGATTCTTTTTCTTTCATTTTTGGTAAACTATCCTTCTAAATAGGATGTCAGCACTTCCAAATCTTTGGAATTAAAAATAAAATAAAATAAAATAAAAAGTTTTAATAATAATAATAAAAACAAACAAACAAACAACATTCTCTTCCATAATTATATTTGTATATAGATTTTTTTACATACATATTTTGTCTGTCTGTGTGTGTGTGTGAAAAAATATATATATATTTCTTGATATTTTCTGGGATTTTATTGCTAACGATAATTAGATGATATTTTGCTGAGTGTTATTGTGCTGATATCTTGAGGACAACCGTTGACAGCTGACTCCTACATTTTTTGATATTCTTCATATTCTGTGTGATGATCAGTTCACAGCAGTGATAGAAATTCATCTTTTCCAATGAGCTTAAATTGATTTTTACCTTTTATGGGCATTTTTACCCATATAAAGCCATTTCTAAAGTGCACATCATCTTTTCAGTCAAATTCTTAAACTGAATCAGTCAATTATAATAATAAGTCATTTGGGCTGTTACCAAGCAAATTAAGTCTATGAAATTAATGAAATGAAAATGAAATTAATCTTTGCAATGCAGAGAAAACACAGAAGCTGCATTAGAAGGGGCATTTAGATGCATTTACACTCTGTTTAAAGCAGGACATGAATGTATTTACTGCAGTTACAAATGCATTAATACTGTTTTGATATTTTAAACGTTGAATACTTATATTTGAAATTATTAAAAAAAAATGAAAAGATACTTTAAATGTGAAATTAAATCCACCAGTAGGTGGCAGCAAGTCACTATTAATAAGTGAATCATTGCGATTGAACCGAATAATTTAACCGGTTGATTCATTCAGGAACGAAACAGTGTCATGTTGCTCAGAGTTGCGAATTGGAATTATTTGTTGGCGAAATAGAGCAAAAACAGTCAATATTGTGTCTAAACCGTAAGTGTCTTAAGATTAAATTCTTGTTTATTGAACTGCTTTATAAAATAATTTTTTTGGTCTCTTGTTTAGTTACAAATGCATAAATAATGTTTTGATATTTAAAACATGAAATGTTGAATACTGATATTTGAAATTATAAAAAAAAAATGAAAAGATACTTTAAATGTGAAATTAAATCCACCAGTAGGTGGCAGCAAGTCACTATTAATAAGTGAATCATTGCGATTGAACCGAATAATTTAACCGGTTGATTCATTCAGGAACGAAACAGTGTCATGTTGCTCAGAGTTGCGAATTGGAATTATTTGTTGGCGAAATAGAGCAAAAACAGTCAATATTGTGTCTTAACCTGCAGTTACAAATGCATAAAACGTTGAATACTTATATTTGAATTTTTATTTATTTATTTTTTAATTAAAAGATACTTTAAATGTGAAATTAAAACTGTCAGTAGGTGGCAGCAAGTCGCTGTTAATTTATTTAGTCATTTAGCAGACGTTAATAAGTGAGTCATTGCGATTGAACCGAATCATTTAAACGGTTGATTAATTCAGTCATGTTGCTCAGAGACGCCAATTGGAATTATATTTGTTGGCGAAATAGAGCAAAAACAGTCAATATTGTGTCTAAACCGTAAGTGTCTTAAGATTAAATTCTTGTTTATTGAACTGCTTTATAAAATTATGTGCGATTCGCGAACGAATTGTTCTTTTGAATCGGATCTTTTTAGTGATTCAGTTGAACCGGCTCCTACGAAAGAACGATAGTTCATCTTAGTTCACGAATCGATCCGAGCAGTTCTCGTTATCAATTTACTGACTCGTTGCATAGAGAATTGTATGTTGACAGGTTTATCAGCAGTTTTATGACTTTGTTTTTATGAGCTTAATCGTGGTTGTAACAAAGTAAGCTGTGGGGCCTGTGAAATTACAATGCAAACCGTTTATAATAAAGATGAATAAAAAAAGAAAGAAAAGAATGAATAAAAGAAAGAAAGAGAAAATATCCAAGCGAATTTTCCATGTTGATTTTTCACAGGTGTTTTACCAGTATTTTGATTTGTGTTTTAGGGTTAAAATGTCTGTAAGGGTAATGGATAATGTCCTGGCTGGCGTAATAATAATCAATATGTGTACCTATGGATTTTTTTTCTGAGACATTTAGAGTATGTATTAAAGGATGTCAGGGGCCATGTGATAATGTCATGACTTAAAAAAATCGCTGAATCATTTTTTTTAGCCAGTTGAAAGAAGCTATTCTGGAATAACCTGATTCACAGAAATGAGTCGGGCTTCCCTTCGCTATGAAAAAGAAATGAACATGCCACATTAAGAATGGTTATGTTGACAACACCCTCTGGCGGAGTCGTGCATACAAAGACCACACTGCACTCTTGCACATTTTTGAGAGTTGGGCGTCCATGTGTATTCCTTCTGAAACTGTGTCATGATGGCCACTTTACTGGTCAGCAGATGAAGTCAGCTGTAACAAGTTTTCTTTATGAATGGCTACCATGGTAACCAAAACAGCAGGTGCAGGATACAAGAAGCACCAGGGGTCACCATAGAGAAATGTCTACTTGCAGATCACTGTTTTAATTTGACACTCTTTAAAAAATATTGTATAATTAGCAGATTGCATGGAAAAGAAGCTTTATAAATTATGCAAGAGTGTTCCAGTCTGGTCTTGCTGGTCTTGGCACAAAGTTCTCCAGATAGCTGGGAGTGTTTCTCTAGATCTCATTTCTTTTACAATCTAAAAAGCAACCGTTTGTCATTTCTTTCCCTTTTATTAATAACTTCACACATGTAGCTAACAGGGATCCATACCAGACATGCAAAGTAGATGGACTGGTTCCT